TTTTATTTCCGGGCGAAAACCCACGGGGCCGGTGTGTTTGTTTCCTAATCCCTCTCTTAGCGATCTAGGGGTCTAGTCCGAGTAGTCATACTCCCCTGCCTCATCGCCTCCTAATAAGTCACGGCTGATTTCCCCCGAATCTATCGTCACCCCGCTGAAGCTCTTGATACCACATCCACCCGTGTCTCTGTCTATTTTTTTTTGTGTGTGTGTGTGTGTGTGTGTGTGTGTGTGTGTGTGTGTGTGTGTGTGTGTGTGTGTGTGTGTGTGTGTGTGTGTGTGTGTGTGTGTGTGTGTGTGTGTGTGTGTGTGTGTGTATGTGGGGGTGGACAGGCGAGTGACTGCACTTCACGCACACACACACACACACACATGCACACACACACACGTACACACACGTCGGCACAAGCACTCACGGCAAAGGTAGTCTCTGCTGCCTCGTCCATGTGGACGAATCGACCTGTGATCACGTGAGAGCAAGACATGTGTGAGGGAAGCGTCAAGAAGGAAAAATTGCAGTGCGTCTGTGCAACGCACACACACAAAGAACGCTCACACACACATCTCCGACACACACACACACACGCACAGGGAACACTCACTCACACACACACAGACACACACACGCACACACAGACACACACACACACACGCACACATCCCCCGACACACACACGCACGCACGCACCCTCGAGGTGGTTTGGTTCTGCTTCGAGGTGTCTGCCACCGAGGTGAGTGGTGTTAAATGCGGCCACTGCTTGGCATGCGTCAGTGTGGGTGTGGAAGCCTGCCGTGGCAGCGTAGGTGACTTCCGGGGCCGGCGGACACATGATGACGCCGTTTAGGTTGTTGACGCGAGCGCTGAGCTCTGCTTGGCAGCAGGCGGGAAGGTTCTTGATGTGCACCTGGAAGGCTTCGTTGGGGTTCAGCCGCGGTGTCGCGTGGGAGCCACAGGCGGTGCTGCGGAAATATGCGCCAAAGTTCTGCAACGCGTGGCTTGCGAGCTCCTTGGTGGGAAACCTACCATACATGCATGTGGGTCGGTGTGGTGGCATTTACCTTCGCACACATACAAAAGTGTGTGTGTGTGTGTTGGTGGTGTATTGGTGGTGTGTTTTGGTGGTGTCGGTGGTGTGTTGACACTTCCTTTCGCTCGCCACAGCCACAACCACAGCCACATCACAGCCACAACCACAGCCACATCCACAAAACGCCTCACCTGACAGTTGCCGAACAGTAGCCGGTCATGGTGTTGGTGACAATGTGCTCGACGCAACAGGCGCCTGCTTGGCGCATGCTGGCCATGAAGGCGTCGTAGTTGGAGGGTGGAATGTTGCTTGCACACAAGGCGTATGGTGCGTTGCAAGGAGGGGCTTGCTGTGTTGGTTGTGGTGGTGGTTGTGGGTAACGTGCAAGCGGCTGGGGCATGTGGCCATTGGGGCCGCTCGCTTGTGGCTCCCGCTCAGATGGTGGTGCGTTGTGTGGGCCTGCATTGCCCCACGACCACGACTGTGGGTGCGGTGGTTGGCGCGGGCCAAAGGCAGCGCTGGGGTGGCGTCCATCAAAACGATCACCCCATTGTTGTGTCAACCGCTGCGTTTGCTGCGTGCGTCGGGTGCCGTGCAGGTCAAACGACTGCTGCAGCAGGCAAGTGGCGTGGGACATGTCGAAGTCGCCATGCTGTGGCGGATGCTGTTGTGGTGTGGGATGATCAACTTGCTGCTGACTCTGCGTGTGCTGAGAATCCAACCAGGTCGGGCGTGCGGGGTCGCTTAGGGAGCGGCGGCGGAGGCGCGTTCGCGAACGCGTTGTTGCGTGCGTTGCTTGCGTTGCTTGTGTGGGTAGAGGTGCTTGTGGTGGCAGTGCAGGGTCGGCGCTGCTGCCTCGGAGCACGAGTGCCTTGAGCCGTGGCGACGCATGGAAGCGCGTTGTGCAGCCGCGGCTGAGGACGGCGTGTGCCTTGAGCGCGGCTGCTTCCGACTCAAAGACAATGTGCACCGCTCCGTTTTCCAGGAGGCGGTCGACCTTGTAGTCGACATTTTCGCCGTCCAGGGCCGCCTTCAAAGCGATCCACCCTGCGGTCGAGACGATTGACAGCTCCGTGCTCTTGGTGCTCTTGGTGTCTGGGTTCATGTTGGGTTGAAAGGGCTGGGGAAGGGAGGTGAGTAGCGGGCGCGGGAAGGTGGGGAGCGGGCGCGGGAGGCGGGAGCGGGGAGCTTGCTGGGTTTGCATTGAAGCGAGTCGGTCGAGCTCATGTGAACGAAAAGTAAATGGTCGTTGCTGGTTATGGTGGTGTTGCTGTTTGTTTGTTTGTTTGTTTGTGTTTGCAGTTTGGCGGGGTGTGCGTGGGCGCGCTGTGGTGTGCGGGCAGTGGTGTGGTGGCTTTGCTGACTGTGAATTCGGCTGTTGGTTTGTCATCACACATCATCATGGTGTCTGCTCGTTGATGTGAGTTTGCGGTTTCTTGCGTCTGCTGGTGGTCGCAAGTTTGGGTGTCATGACACCCAACCGTCAGCGACAGCAACCAAGTCACACGAAGGTTTGGGGTGGACGCAGATAAATGGTGGAAGATTTTGTGTGAAATGCGTCATGCCATGATGCAACTCGTGATGCAACAAGGCGCAACGCCTGTCATGTGTCCGAATCGTGGAAAGAATGACCCAACATGCACTTTTTCGCGCAACAGTTCGATCCACCGTTGGGCGCTACTGATTTGATCGTCACGGCCTCTGCATAAATTGCACGAGCCGCACTTCCAACATTGACCCGATCTGCAACTTCACTTCCACGGGCATGTCACACACCAACTGCCAGTGCCTTCTGTTGTGCTTCTTTTTTTTTGGATGGGGTAGGTTGGTTGCTTTGCTTCTGCTTCTCCATGCGTCATCGTTTAGCCAGAATCACCAACCGCCAGACACACCGACCATCACCAATCAATCACCACCACCACCACCCAATATCGCCGTCATCAAGGTCTGTCACAACCCATTCTCATTTTCTCCACGTCGCATTTCACCCTTCTCACTCAAGACACTCTACGTCTTGTGTGTTTGCAAAACCACAGACACCAGTTGTGTGACCAACAAAGAACCAAAGCGGCTGTCCATCGTCATCGCCCGCAGTCATGGACATGATGGAACTCATCCGACAAGAGATGCCACGGCTTCATCTCCTGGAACAACTTCTCCCGCAACAACCTCTCCATCCACTTTTTGGGCCTCCCACATACGACCTGTTCGTCGCAGGCCTTTCTTGCGAGGATTTTCCCTTGTTCCGCTGGTCGCTGATGACCTTCCACGATGCAACACGCGTTGACTACGCGCGCACACTAAGCCGTCACGGCTTCCTCGTCAACGCCACAGTCAAGTGCGTACATGCACTGAATTGTGTGTGCGTGCGTGCTGTGTGCTTTTGTTTACATTTGTGTTGTGCATGCGCTTGTCAAGCTTTGTTTGAAGCCCTTCCTTCCTCTCATCCTGTTCCCATCCGTTGTTGTTCTGTATTCCGACACAACTCACATGCAACACATTCCTTTTCCACACACATGCTTACCACACACCAAGGTTTCCAACAAAGGAACTTGCGCAGGCCGCTCTCCATGAGTTCCCCTTTGAAGCCTTTGGCGAAGCCGTTTATGCGGCACGCGACCCCAGATGCATGCAGTGGACGGATGAGGAGCTTGTGCGCGAGCTCGACTGTGCACGCCTCACCTACGTCCTCATCGACAACATTGCGCCCGGCTTCCCGCGCACGCTTGCGCGACAAGTGCGCGAACTCGGCGGCGTTCCATTCGGCTTTGTCGACATCGATGACGACTTCATCTTCACGGGCCTTGCTGCCTTCCCCACGCCCCAGGCTGCTCATGCCGCCGTGCGAGAATTCGACGGTCATCCATTCGCAGGCAGGGCCATGGTGGCTCGTGCAGAAGGTATGCACAGACGAGCGTTGTGTCAGAGGGTGCTTGTCTCCATGCATTTTATGCGCAGATGCTCCTGAACATTTGACCATTTCATCCGTGCCTTCAAGCAAGCGTCAACGCAACAGCCATCACTAACACACACGCTTACTTATTCAGGGGCGCGTGCACTGGCGGAGGCCGCCCGAATCCTCCACGACGAACACGTTGTAAGTTCCTCGCGGTTGGAACGTGTTTCCTGTTTTGCTGCGATTGTGTGTGTGTGTGTGTGTGGGCTCATGTTGTGCGTCTGGGCGAAGCGAATGCGATTCACTCGCGCTCACTCGCTGTCCCTGCCCCATCATCTCCATCGCGATCCTGCAGGCTCGGCGCCAACAGCAGCACGGCGCTCCTTGGGACCCACAGCGTGAAATTGAAAGGGTCAGGCTCCAAGACCCTGCCCGAACGTTCAACATCAGAGTTCGAATCCTGCGTGAGCATGGTCGCACTCTGATGCACTGGGTGCATTTCTTCAACGGCAGAGTGTTTCGGCGTGTGCGTGAGCCTTTCACGGTGTACGTCTCCTTCGCTTCACGTGCGGCAGCTGACGGCGCCATGGCAGTGCTCAACGCCATGCGGGCCCACGACGGCAGTCGCCGGTTTGCGGCAGCACGCGACCTGCAGCACGGTGCGTGCGTGTGCGTGTGTGTGTGTGTGGGTGTCGGTGTGCATGTGCATGTGCATGTGTGTGGGTGTGGGTGTGTGCGTGTGCGAGTTTTCATGTGTGCTTCTGCCTTTGCTACGCTGCCACTCACCACCTGTTCGGCGCACTCACTCGCCGCCTTCTCCTTTCCATGTTAGGGATGTTCCGGCTTGCTGCGGGCATGGGACTGCGCCGTCAAGAAATCCACCAGCGCCCACAACAATATTACAACGGCGCACCAAGCATGTTTGCTGGAAGACCGCAACGTCAACGGCGGCTGCACGAAGCACTGCGACCAGAAGATGGCGATGATGGCAACCCTTGGATGCGCCACCGTCAACAAGGGCATCATCACCAGCAAGACCAAGAGCATGCGCGTCATGGCCTGTTTGCTGGAAGACCACCACGTCAATGGCTGCAACCCGAAGCACTGCGACCAGAAGATGGCGATGACGGCAACCCTTGGATGCACCGTCGCCAGCACCTCCAAGAGATGTTTGCGCAAAGACCGTGGCATCAGCAGCCGCTGCACGAAGCGCTGCAACAAGATGGCGATGACGGCAACCCTGGGATGCGCCGCCGCCAACAAGGGCGTCATCACCAGCAAGACCAAGAGCACGCGCGTCATGGCGTGTTTCCGCTGCACGAAGCACTGCGACCAGAGGATCGCAATGATGTTCAAGACGCAGAGGCGTTTGCTGAAAGACCGTGGCATCAACGGCCGCTGCACGAAGCACTGCGACCAGAGGATGGCGATGACGGCAACCCTTGGATGCGCCGCCGCCAACAAGGGCGTCATCACCAGCAAGACCACGACCAGCACCAGCTACACCCTGACGTTCTTGCTGCTCTGTGGCTACGTGCAGCCCAGTCAGCAAAGCGCACGGACCGTGACGTGTCTCAGTTGCCAACCAACACGCTCCAGCTACAACCAGCGACAACCTCAACAACCTTTGCAACACAGCGGCGCCGTGCCCCTCTACCACAACAAGCCATACGCGCGTGTGCTGGCAAAGGCAACCCGATACTACCCGAACCCACTCCACCAACAGCCAAGCCACGCGCGTGGGAGCTGCCCTCTCTTCGCCTTTGTCGCTGTGGATGACAACCTTACTTTGAGCGCCTTTTTTTGACCGTTGTTGCCTTTCCTTCCCGAACCGTTGCACCCGTTACTTCTTTCCTGCTCTCCTGCACTGGTTGCCATGGCCAAGCCCCCTCGGGCTGGCCGTTGACTTGCGTTCATCGTTGTTGCCCTTGCCTTCTTTTCCCTAGCATTGCACCGTTCATTTATGTATGCCATTCATTCAGCTGCTGTTGCGTTGTGCGCTTGCTGCGCTTGCTGCGCTTGCTGCGCTTGCTGCGCTTGTAGTCATCACACCACCGTAGCCTCTCATAGACATGACGATAACCAGACACAACAGCAACCCTCCTACCCTCGCTCGCATGTTTGAATGCTGTGGCGGCACGTGAGCACTGACTTCAGGGGCGGATGATATTGCCAATTTTCCTCTTCACAAAACACAAACAAACACACACTGTACACTTGCACATCGTCATTCCACATCCTTCACCAACAACATACACCACACCTCCAGAACAGTTCCGCCACACATTCATCCATCATCACCCTTGCTTGTCGGATGACATTCGCTAAACCCTTGAGTGGCTGGCTCCGCGGTTCACGAAACCACGACCTTTCCATTAGCGATTCGCTTCCAATCGCATCGTGCAGTTGCAAACCGCTTGCGTTGTGTATGTGTTGTTTCTTGTCTTTGAAACGAATCCGAAGGCACCAACACAAACATTTTGCCAACCCAGTTTGTTTACGTTTGGTGTATCCCACACCTCCCAACCCGTCAAGCAAGCCAGAATGAGTGGCCCGTCCAGCGGTGGTTCGCTGTGGATCATATCGACACTCAGCGCGGACGCACTGAAGACTTCCCTTGACAGCGAAAGTGTCGACTACACGCTCGACCTCCTTCCTAATGGCGCGGCGCGCATCGGTTTCAGCTCCGAGGCCGCCGCGCTCAAGGCCCATGCGGTGCTCAGCCGCGTGCGCAAGACAGGCTTCCATGCGTCGCCAAAGCTCAGGACGCTGTTGCAGGAGAGGGGAAGTGAGCATGCGAAGGAGTCCGCTGTTGATAGAGGAGAAGCTGCCCACGCCAAACACCCAAGAGAGCAGGCAGGCTTTGGCTCATACGCTTACCAGAAGAGCGTGCAGACGGTGCGCGAAGAAAAAAAGGCGCATGACTCTACCGACACATCGCCCTCAACATCATGGCCGCCACACCAGCGCCAGCAGCACCAGCACCAGCAGCGACGACCGCCAGGCCCATCGGGATGGTCACACGCAGGGGAATACCATCATCAGCCCCAGCAGCCCCAGCAGCACGCGCACTACCAGCACCGCCACCAGCATCAGCACCACCAGCAGTCGCTGCAGGGGTCCCCACACACACCCGCATTTGCATCGCCCCAGCCCCAGCCCCAGCCTGGTGTGAACGCACCACCCTTTTACTACCAACCACAACCGCACCAACAAGGGTATTACGTGCAGTTTGCTCCTCCACAGCAACAGGGACCGCCGCCACCACAAGCTCCGCAACAGCAACAGCAACAGCATGCGTTTCCACCCTACCACCCCCACAATCAGCCACCACTGCTGCATCACCAACACAGGCAACAACAACAGCAGCACCAGCAACATCAGCAGCAACAGTACCAGCAGCCGCAACCACCGCGTGGTGGCACGTACGATTTGCATGCACGCAACATTCCCTCGTCCAACTATGAGGAGTTTCTGTCCATGATGTACGATGCGGGCGCCGTGCGTGTGGACCGCATGTCCATCAAGAGCACCGCCGACTACTGTCTCGCCACTGTCAGGTGCGGTGGTGGTGATGGCGATGTTGGCACAGAGAGAGAGAGAAGGGGTGGCGAGGCGGGAAGGCAGGGAGAGGGAGAGCAGAGTTGTTGAAGCTTGCTTGCAGCTTGTTGTTAAGGCGGTTGTTGTTGGTCGGACAGGCGTTGGCAAATCCACCCTCTTGGCTCGTGGTTGGAATTGGTCAGGTTTATTCCGTGTGGTGAAGACACCTTTGTTCCCTCACCATCAACACACACACACACACACACACACACACACACACACACATACACATACACACGCACACACACTCACCATCAACACACACACACACACATACACACAGGTTCCCGACAAAGGCACTGGCGGAGGACGCGCTGAAGAAGTTTGCCGCGTATCTGCTGGGCACGCGCACGCTCGAGCTCACGCGACACAACCGCTGCCCGCAGTGGACCGAGACCGAACTGAAGCAGCACCTTGATCCGAAACACACGTTTTTCGTGTTTATCAAGAACATCCCGCGTGGCTATGAGCGCACGCTTGCGGCGCGCGTGCGCGAGCTTGAGGGCTATCGGCGCGTGCATGTGACGTTTCCATCTGGCAATGAATCGATTGTGTTTGCCAATGCGAGCTTTGCTGACAGGCAGTCTGCGGACGCTGCCATTCGCATGCTGAGCACGCTTCGCCTTGGCGACCGTATCATTGAGGCACAGCCCAACACCAAGCAGGGTGAGCTGCAAGGAGACAAAGCCTGCGGTGCAGACACGGGTGGTGCGGCTTGCGATGACATTGTAATTGATTTGTATGTTTTGTGACGTAATCAGGACCGTCTTGCACATGCACATGCCTGTGTTGCCCTTGTTCTTTCACTATCCACCGCACCAAACGATGCACATGCTCAGGCGCGTACAAGGATGAAGAAGACATTCGCACACAGTTTGACGTGCGTTTTGTGTATGTGTGTGATGTGACTGCGACTTTTGTGACTGTGCGATTTGTGTGTGTGTGTGTGTGTGATGTGACTGTGACATTTGTGACTGTGTGTGTGTGTGTGTGCGTGTGTGTTGACGACGTCATGCACCTTCATGCTCTTACACCGCATCCCCTCTTTCTGCACTCTCCGCTTGCTTTCCTCTCTTCCTCGTCAACACACACACATACACACACACACACACACACACACACACACACAGCTTGATGCGCCGCGCTCCCACCAGCATCAGCGCCATCAGTACCAGCCCCCTCCTGCACCCGCACCAACATCCCAGCACCACCATCATCAGCACCATCATCATCAGCAGCAGGAGTTCGCTGGTTCCAGGCCGCGTGGTGGCGGCCCTCCGTTTGAGCCTGAGCCGCTCATCCCGCCAACGCCGGCATCGTCAGCACCAACAACGGCATCATTCCATGGCGGCGCACCGCAACCGCACCAGGCACACTCGGAGCAGTGCCCATCATCGTTGTATGCCAAGTCAACAGCAGCGACGACAGCACCCCACACTGAGGACCCGTACCAGCATCAACAACGTGCTGAGCCCACCCTGCCGCCAACCCTCCAGCGCCACCCGTACGAGAGCTCATATCAGCACCACGACCTCGCGCCGCGGTACGAACCGTTCACCCGGCAGCCGCCAGTGGGCCATCAACCGGAGCCATGCACAACAGCAGCACCACCACCACCTCCGGCACACGGCGACGAGAAGGGTGAAGGAGAGGATTACGAGGCGGCGCTTGAGCCGTTTGATGTGCTCGTGCACCACATGGGCATGCTTGAGCTGGGGCGCGTGCTCCTTGGCAAGCAGCAGGGCGTCATCAGTATCACGCCACTGGACGAACAGCAGGGGCAGGTTGCCCGCGTCAGGTGAGGTGCTGCTGACTGGTTGGTGGTGATGTGGTAAAGTTGTGGGATTGTAACCGGTTGAGGAGATGTTCGTTGCGTGTGGTGGTTACCATGGGAATGACGGCATGTGGTGTCGGGTAATGATGCGAGGATGCGGCAGTCAAGTACTCATCATGCTTGTGTAATTCCCCTCGACATCCCACACCGATACACCCTCAACTCACACACACACACACACACATGTGCAGCTGTGCGACGCGTGAGGTCGGCGAGCGCGTCCTGAGGGAGATGACGAACTTCCCGATTGGGAAGGTGCAGCTGACGGCCCGCCGCGACCCGGACTGCCCTGCTTGGACGGCGGACGAGCTGTGGTCCGTGTGGGTCGAGCCCGTGCCCGAAGGTCTTGAGGAAGTGCTGCCCTCGCTCGCCAAGGCAAACAGTGGCTTTCACTCCCACACGTACAAGCCGGACGGCAACCGCGTCAGAGGCACATTCAGGTAGGCGATGTGTGTGTGTGTGTGTGTGTGTGTGTGTGCGTGTGTGTGTGTGCGTGTATGTGCGTGCACGTGCATGCACAGATGCTCCTGCATGTGCACACGCGTGTCCTTCCCTCAACCACGTCCTCAACCAACCAACCAACCCCCCCCCTTCCCTCGCAACAGGTTTGTGTCGCGGGAGAGCGCGGAGCTGATGGTCCGCCTGTACGACCAGCGGGAGGTGCTGGGCACGAAGCTCAACGTGTTCCCAGACCCAAAGGCAAAGAACTGGAAGAGCAAGGGCAAGGACTCCACGTCCTCCTCCCCTGCGTCCCCAACATCCATCACGCCGGCGCCTGTTGCGGGCCAGGCAAAGCGCATCACGTTCTACCTGAGCGAGGCAGCCAGGAAGCGTGACCGCAAGGGCTTGACTGCCGCCATGCCCTGGCCCACCGACACGTACCGCAGCGTGCAGGCGACGCTGGAGCGCGCTGGCGTCAACTTCCAGTCGCTGCAGGTCTTTCTGGACATGCGCTGTGCAAGCGTTGACGTGGTTGCCGACAGCGAGGAGGCGTTCCGGAGCCTGCTGCCACTGCCCATTGACACGGCGGGGGCCTGTCGTCTGGAGGCGCGGCAGGCACCGCTGCACCGCATTGTCGTCACCTGTACCCCGCACAGCAAGCCCACCACGGGCCGCGACATTGTGCAGGCGTTTGAGACGAACTTTGGCGGCAAGGCAAAGCTTGTGCCCATCCCACAGTCCCTCAAGGACACGCTGTCCCGCATCCAGCCGTTTGCCAGCACGCGCATGGCCGAACAACAACAAGAACAAGGAGCACAACAGCAGGATGGTGGAGGTCGCAGTGAGGCGCACAATGCTGCCAAGCCCACGGTTGTGCACGACCCTCATCATTACAAGAAAGGCGATGCTGACAACGACGACAGCAAGAGCAAGAGCAGCAGTGCGTCCTCTGAGACCACGCTGCAGCGCGTGTTTGTGCTGGAGATAACAGACACGCGTGCGGCGCATGCGTGTGTCCGCAGGAGGCAGTTTGCCACCTCTGTCTCGCACAAGTTTGTGGCGCGCCTGTGCTACCCGAACGACGTGCACGTGGCTGTGCTCGACCCCAAGCTGAGCGGCCTCCTGTCGGACCTCGTCGAGGCGTTCAACAAGAGCAGCGTGGCCAAGGACCTTGATGTGCTGGCGGCTGCAACCACAAATAACCGCATCTGCTTCACGAGCAGCACCGCCGTGCTGGTGTGGTCGCAGGCCAAGCTGCTTGCAAGCTTCCTCGCGCCTGCCTTCCACCCGTTTGCCCGCAGCGACCGCGTGCTGGGCGACGACAAGATCATGGAACACGTCCTGAACGACTACGGCCTGAAGCTCGTGCGCTACCCGACGCTTGACCTGCTGCCCTACGCCAGCACGGCACACAGGGCTATGCGGGATGTCGAGTTTGTGCGGCCGTCGCCCGTCACCAGCACCCCACCCATCGCATCGCCCGTGGCACCCCAGCACGCCGCATCACAAACAGCGACATCAGCAACGCCAACGACAACGACAACAACATCCACAGCAACAGCAGATAATGACGACCCTACGGCCGTTGCGCAGCCGCTGTGGGCGCTGTATGGGTTTGGCGATGACAAGCAGGTGGCGGATGCCATGGCGTCTGTGATTGAGCGCAGCGCCAACACGAGCGTCACCTTGTTGGCCATGTACCCGCACCAGTTCCGGCACTTTGCCGAGGTGGCTGCGATGAAGGCCACCATCATGGCTGGCGTGACATACAAGCTGGACGCCGTTGCGCCGGCCGTTATCCTCCGCAGCACAGATGCAAACGCGCTTCGCTCATCGTGCGATGCGCTCGCTGGCGCCATCTCCGACCTCGTGATGGAGGAGGTGTGCATCCCGGGCTCGCTCGACATGCTGCGGGAGGTGGTGACGTCGACCAAGGCCTCGCTGCTGCAGCACGTGCTGCTGACCAGCCGCGCCCACGAGCGCGACGTGGCCAACAGGGCCAAGCACGCCCGCCCGACTCACCCCGGGCACGGCGACCCGGCCAACGCTCCCTGGCCCTCCATTGACGGCGGGAAACTGCAGGCAGCCACACACGTGCACCATCAGGCCGCGGGTGGCGCGCAGCCGTGCGGCCTCACCACTGCCCGGCTGTGGCTGGTGGGGGCACCGGAGCACGTGCAGCAGCTGCGGGACTACCTGCTCACGCTGGAGTGCAAGGAGACGGCGCTGTCGCACGACATGAAGCAGGCGCTCATACACACGCGCGACCTGGACGGCGCCGCGCTGCACGCCCAGCTGCAGCAGCGGGGCGCCATGCTGCTGGAGTACTCGCTGTACTACTACCTGGACCAGGACAGGGAGCGCGGGCTCGGCTATATCAACAGCACCGTCGGCGCCAACATCAAGTCGCAGACGACGATCAGCGTGACGGGCATGCAATACCGCTTCCTGGACTCGCAGCTGCTTGAGCTGGCCCGCAAGTTCCGCGTGTATGTGCGCAAGCCCAGCGCGGAGGACAGGGACGCGTGCGCCTCAAGCGTGCCCGTGACCGTGGAGGGCATGCAGCGGCAGCTGACGGCGTTTGACAATGCGGTGCAGGACACGCTCAAGGAGTACCTGTGCCACGTGCTCGGGCTGCCGGTCATTGACACGTCGCACGTGCCGGAGATGTCCGAGGCGGACGTCACCTCCCTGAAGCGCAAGCTGTTCAACGACCTGACCAAGGCCAGCCGCACGCTGTGCCGCAGCAAGGATCGCGTGGTGAGCTACGTTGCACCACAGGACGTGATTGGCACGCCCACTGAGCGCAACGTGTGGATGGTGGCTGGCCGGCGCGATGTGATGCAAACGGTCATCCCGACGATGGAGTCGACGTTCCGCACCATCGCCCACATCCGGCCCACGCGGTACGTGTGCCAGGTGCCCATGTCCGTGGCCAAAGATCTGCTGGACAGCGAGCTGGAGCGGCTGCGCAGCAACCACCCGCTCACGGGCGTCCTGGAGACAGACAACACCGCCCTGTTTGACAAGGACAAGGCGCGCTGCGTGCTGGTGCAGTCGCTGCGTGCGCGCGAGGCCGACGATTGCAAGCAGGCAATTGAGAACCTGCAGGAGCACGCCATTGTGCAGCACACGGTTGGCTCGGACATGGTGGAGCGGTTGACGAAGCTTGCGCTGCCGCATTTGTCCCTCAAGGAGCTGGACGCCTCTGACCTGGCAGTGATGGCGCGCGCAGCCATGGACGAGGTCAACACGGCGCTCGCCGCCAACAAGCACTGCAGCAACACCAAGCTCAAGCTGGTGGACGTCGAAGACGACGACGACGATGATGAGCAAGATGGCGTTTGCGCTGATGCCGGTCGTACCGCAAGCACGGGCGCTGCTTCGGCAAACTCTGCTGGCACTGGCTCTTTTGAGCAGGCAGCACACGCAGGAGAGACATCACAACAACGAGCGCAGGGCACGTACGACTCTGGCCGGGGCGACAGCCTGTCGACCTCAGTGCCGGCGCACCAAAGGCCAAAGAAGCTGGTGCTTGAAGGCCCACGCAAGGAGATGGCGGCGGCGTCCGAGGTGCTGCTGACCACGTGCGAGAGGCTGTTCCCGGCCAAGGTGAAGCAGGCCGTGTGGGAGGTGGAGCCATACCAGTACCACACCATCAGCGAGACGCTGCCCGCGGTGCAACTGTATGCGGAGTCGCTCGGCGTAATTGTGCGCCTGCTGAAGGAGGCACAGGTGCCGCGTGCGCGCAACGTGCGGCGACGCGTGCGCAGGAAGGCCGGCACGCTGCGCGTGGAGATTCGCGAGGGAAGCATCATCAACGACCGTGACATGAACGCCATTGTCAACTCGGCCAACCCGGACCTGATGAACGACGGCGGCGTGGCGTTTGCCATCTCGCAGGCCGCTGGCACGGAGTTTGATGCTGCCTGCAAGGACTCGTTGGAGAGGAGCGGCCCCCTGCGGTGCAACGAGGCGCGCGTGACCACGTCCGGCGCGCTGGCCCTCTCGTCCAACATTGAGCACGTGCTGCACATGGTTGCGCCAAATTTTGCGCCCGAGTTTGGCAGCACGGTGACGCAGACGGCTGCGGACCTGAAGACGGCGTACCGCGCGCTGCTGACGACGGCGCGGGACAACAACATCCGCTCGCTCGCCACGTGCGCGCTCGGGTGCGGCGCTTTCCGCTGCTCCCCATACGCGTCTGCACGCGCGCTGTTTGAGGTGATTGACGAGGTGGACCGCGACGGTACGTTCTTCGACACCATCCGCGTGACCATCATCACCGAGGACGTGAGCACGCTGTCGGCGTTTAAGCAGACGTTTGAGAAGTACTATGGTGAGAAGGTGGGCAGCGGGCTGTATGAGGACCTGCAGCGCAGCGCCCTCGATGCGCCGGCCGATGAGACGCCTGACCCCATCCACACGTGGCTGTACACGGGCCCCACGTACACGGAGCCGCCCTCCAAGGCGGAGCTGGACAACAAGGCCGCCTGGAACGGGTTTACGCACGACGCGACGCTGCTGATTGAAAACGCCTTCAACAAGTACCGGGCTGCCATCGCTGCCAAGCGCAAGCGCAGCACTGCTGACAACGACGACGATGATGATGATGATGATGCTGGTAATGGTGGTGATGGCGATGATGGCAGTGATGGCCAGCGCGGCAGCGTCGGTAAACACAAGGGTGTCGCTGCTGGCGGCGTTGCTGTGGAGCATGCGCGCGAGATGCCCAATGTGATGACAAAGCCGTGCGGTTGCTTCCCCGACAAGTACCTGCACAAGGAGCACTTCAAGATGAGTGAGGAGGAGGCCGCCCGCGTGGTCGCCGACGCCCGTGCAACTGCGGCTGCGGAGGACGAGCGCAACATGCGCCGGACGGTTGATCCAGATGTCCTGCAGCGGTGGCTGGAGTACAAGAACCGCAAGGCGTGGAAGTCGGCGCGCTTCTTCAAGTTCAAGATCCAGTACACGACCAACACCCCCGGCAAGCTGGTTGACCGCTACTTCACGGTGGACTTCCAGGACCACTGGGTGTACGTGAGCCCCAGGAAGGAGCACGTGGGCATGCACGTGAACGACCTGCAGGACTCTGTGACGCACGTGCTTGCCTGCGACGTGCAGGAGGACTCCAACTACGCCATGACCGGGGGCGATGCTGATGCGAGCACGCAGGCCGGCACCGCCCATCCCACGACGTCCTCGTCTGTGCCGCTGCACTTTGGCACGATCGTGGAGGACGGCCCGTCGGGGCCCGAGAAGCTGCTGTGCGTCTTCCGCGGCATGGAGCATGTGCTGGAGCAGTGCAAGGCGTGGACGCAACGCCATGTGCGTGCACACGTGCAGACGTACACGCTCAACATGCCGCGCAGCCTGGATCTGTCGGTGATCAAGGCGGCGTGCGACAAGCACCACGTGCAACACGTGGAGCGGGAGCTTAGCGACGGGCGCGTGCAGTTTTGCGTCGCGGGTCATACACCTGAGATTCAGAGTGCGTGAGTGCGGTTGTGTGTGTACGCTCTGTACCAGCGACTTGTTTGAGCGCGTGAGCTGTACACTTTGCCTGTGTGTGTTTGTTTGTGTGTGTGTTTGTGTGTTTGTCCCTGTGTGTCTATGTGTCTGTGTGACCTTGCGCGTCTGTCTGTGTCTGTGCACACATGCGTGAGAGCGTTTGCGAAACACACACACGCACACTCACTCGCTCACTCACTCACTCACTCTATCCCTCTCCCACACACGCACACACACACTCACACACACACACACACACACAACTCTCTCTCTCTCTCTCTCTCTCTCTCTCTCTCTCATTTTCTCTCGTTCTCTCTGTCTTTCTTTTTCTGCGCGCTACGCATTTTCAGGGTGGTTCACGTTGTTGGAACCGGAGACCAGCCCCATTGGCATTTTCTATGTCCGGTGCTGCGCCTGTACATTCAACATCAGGGTGGTCGTCCCACTCGGGGCCCTCGCTCAGTGCACGGAGCACATCAATGCCCACGATGGCATGGTGTTTCGCTATGAAAGGGGCACCACGTCGTCGACGATGCACGTCGCTTTTCTCACATTTGAAGCAGCCTACGATGCCACGGCGGCACTGAATGAAGCGCAATTCAACGGTAGGCCCCGCTTTGAGTCCGAGCCAGACCTTCACGAAGGTGAGAGTACGTGACAGTGAGATGTGTCTGCGATTGAGGACGTGCGTGGGGTGTGTGTGTGTGTGTGTGTGTGTGTGTGTGTGTGTGTGTGTGTGTGTGTGTGTGTGTGTGTGTGTGTGTGTGTGTGTGTGTGTGTGTGTGTGGTGTGAGGGGGGGTGTCTCTGTGTCTCTGTGTCTGTATGACCTTGCGCGTCTGTCTGTGTCTGTGCACACATGCGTGAGAGCGTTTGCGAAACACACACACGCACACTCACTCGCTCACTCACTCACTCACTCTATCCCTCTCCCACACACGCACACACACACTCACACACACACACACACACACACTCTCTCTCTCTCTCTCTCTCCCTCTCTCTCTCTCATTTTCTCTCGTTCTCTCTGTCTTTCTTTTTCTGCGCGCTACGCATTTTCAGGGTGGTTCACGTTGTTGGAACCGGAGACCAGCCCCATTGGCATTTTCTATGTCCGGTGCTGCGCCTGTACATTCAACATCAGGGTGGTCGTCCCACTCGGGGCCCTCGCTCAGTGCACGGAGCACATCAATGCCCACGATGGCATGGTGTTTCGCTATGAAAGGGGCACCACGTCGTCGACGATGCACGTCGCTTTTCTCACATTTGAAGCAGCCTACGATGCCATGGCGGCACTGAATGAAGCGCAATTCAACGGTAGGCCCCGCTTTGAGTCCGAGCCAGACCTTCACGAAGGTGAGAGTACGTGACAGTGAGATGTGTCTGCGATTGAGGACGTGCGTTGTGTGTGTGTGTGTGTGTGTGTGTGTGTGTGTGTGTGTGTGTGTGTGTGTGTGTGTGTGTGTGTGTGTGTGTGTGTGTGTGTGTGTGGTGTGAGGGGGGGGGGTGTCTCTGTGTCTCTGTGTCTGTGTGACCTTGCGCGTCTGTCTGTGTCTGTGGTACAAGTTCTGTCCCGGGATGAGGAATTACCGCTTTTCCGCTCACAGCTGTGGGTTCTTGGCCATTGAACGATTGAATTCTTTGTTTGAGTTAGCTCTGACGACCTTCGAGTGCACGCACACCATTGAACGGGACTTCAGGCTGCCTTTCGGCTCACAATGAATATGCTGAAGAGGGTCCACCACAACTTTGGACCAAGCGTATCACGGCGAGGCGCTTACATATTGAGAGTGGTACTTGCGGCACGTGTGATGAAGAAGTGAGGTGTGTGGCTCAGCGAAGAGTTATGTTTCAGTTTGATTTCCCAATCCTTTGACCACAAGCATCATCGGGTCAACAACAGCAGCAGCACCAGCAGCTTCAGAGTTTCTGCCGTTCGATGGTGATGATGATGATGGTGGTGATGATGATGATGATGGTGATGATGATGATGATGATGATGATGATGATGATGATGATGATGATGATGATGATGATGGTGACGATGATGATGATGATGATGATGATGATGATGATGATGATGATGATGATGATGATTGCCACAACCCCATGTCCGGTGATCAGCCACGACAACCTCGCTTCTGACAAAGTGCTGCGTTGAGCACTTTGGCAAAGCGGGTGTTGGCGAACGAGGAGAATGATAGGATACACACAGGTGCTGCTGGCTGTCTGTGAACCAGGTGCAACCGTGTCACTTGCTCGCTGGTCTGCATTCGCTCGTGACAAGTGGCACGCTGGCACGTCAAGTCAATGAGTATCTCATCATCCTCGCTTTGCTTGCGCATAACAGTGGCTCCCTTGTCTGTTTACTTCCAGAGCTCTATTCTGATTGTCTCCTTTTTCTCTTTTTGTGTCCTTGTTCGGTCGGTTTCTTGGTACTGGCCTTCACGTATTCGGCTGGTGTTAGTTCATTCTTGTCTTTTCAACGTGGTTGGGTGTTTGCGTTGGGTTATTCTCTTCCTGTTCGAAACCGTGCTCACCCCTTTGTGTTTTGATTGCATGCATGGTGTGTTTGACGGGTTCGTCAAGGCTTTTTGCATTCACGACGTCTTGTAGTGTATTGTTGTTTCCTTGACAGTCAACCCATGCTGTATGTACAAGACACACCGAACTTAAAACGTGACAGCGATTTTCGAGGAGGGTGTTGAGGGTGAAATCGAACCATGCAGTGTGAATAAGCGAGATCGCGCGCTCGGGTGTTAATTGTTGTGGAAAAGTTATTTGTGCAGGCAGGACTCAAATGCAAGCTGGCTAGAGACCTCTAGCAACTTCGAGATTTCGTGTATGAAGCTCTTCTACTCTTCTACTCTTGTTTCTTGTTTCCTCTTGCTTGTGTCAAATGACTGAACTTTTCGGCCTGTCTCCCAGTTTCACCTCACCAGCTGTTCTTGTTTCAGTTTTGTTACAAGAGTTCAGCTGCGAACAAATCTCGTATCTCCTCAGTCTGGTTCTCACAAGAGACAAGAGCAAAAGGTTGGCAGCTCAAGCTGGCTGCTGGCATTCAGGCGGCAATGCGACATCATGTGATGAGGGGAAGGCTCTGACGTGGTTCCGATTGTTTGCTGTATCATTCAAGAATTCAGCTCATTATTTTTTTCTTGTTCATCAGCATCGAGAAACGAGAGACAGCTTCATCGCTTGCTTGGTTGGAGGTCTCAAGACGACATCATGGAACGGACAAGGACGCTGGACCTCCATGACTTGATCGCCACGACAAAGCTGACCGCGGAGACACAGCAGAGAATCAAAGCCATCGTGACCAATGCATGCAGAAAAGAAGTTCTGTAAGACTCATGCTTTGATCTGTGTGTACAAGTGCAAGGACACCCGTGTCTTGGCAACGGACAGAGAGCGTGTTAATCGGTCTATCGGTTCATGTGTGTCAGTGTTGTCATTCTCTTGTAGTTGAGGTTCACGATGGGATGTGGTGACCAACCGCGCTACATGCTTGACTGAACTGTGTGCATTTGTGCAAAGCATGGCAATGTTTGCCTGCGCCTGCGAGCTACCTTTGTGCGTGTCTGTGTGTGTGCACGCATGTGCGTGTGTATGCGTGTGCGTGTCTGAGTACCACGATTACCATGCATGACCATCTTCTTTCAAGCATGAGAGGTTGTGACATGTTCTTCTTGAGCATGAAGCGCCAATTCTGACTCCATGTGCTCATGTGCTAGCTTGCCAGCAATTGGTCTTGACGACGACGAAATTCGCATGTTGGTGGAGGCACTGAAAGGAAACACGTGTATGAAACGGCTGGAGTGAGTTCTTGAGTTGCCCATGGCTTGTCCTGTGTATGTGTACGTGTATGTTGATGTGTACGCGTTGGACTTTCTTTGTGCGCGCTTGTGTTGTCACGGTGTGGCTTCTTCTGATTGTAACGCAGTAGTTTCTTCTGGTTTCGCCTTGGTATTGACATGAACACCGTGCGCCATGCAAGCTTGGGCAACAACCTAATTGCAGCTCCTGGTGCCATTGCCTTGGCTGCTGTCCTCAAAACCAATCCGACGATTGTGGAGTTTTCGTAAGTGAGCAACCTTTTCCTGTGTTCCACGTTCTTGCTTCGCAACACACGTAATTTCGCGTGGTGTGACCACGACCTCATGCAACTCATCCGTTGTCTCACATTGTTTTCCAGGCTATTCGGCAACCGCGTGCGTTCCGACGCTGCCGATGGGTTAGCCACTTTGTTGAAACACAATACAACCCTTCGACTACTTCAGTGAGTGAAATGTGGTTCGAGAGACTGGTGACTGTTCAAGTGCATGTGCATTTTGGGAGATGAATGCACACTTGTTTGTTGCCACTTCCTTGAGTGTCTGCCTACCACCTCCCAAACTTGCATGTTGAGTTGATTTCGGGTCTTCGTCAATCTTTGCTTGAAGTTTGGGTGACAATGCAATCGGCGATGCTGGTGCTGTCAAGCTGGCCAAGGCGTTACAGGAGGGCAACAACACACTCCGGGAACTTGTGTAAGCAAACTGATCCGCTTTTTGGTTTTCCGTTTCTTGCATTGCGATACGCGAGTGTTGTCCTTCGATTCTCTCCTCGGGTTTATCCTTCCGACGCAGCTTCGACCGACTTGCGATCTTCCTGACTATGTTGTGGTGCATGACACGTTCGCGTCCTTGTCATAGGCTCTTTAACAACCGGTTGGGCGACCAGGCAGCCATCTCCCTGGCCAAGATGCTGGAGCACAACAGCGCTCTGACGCAGCTCAAGTAAATCTGCAGCGTGTCTCAGAAGCTCGGCCTGGTTGATGGTTGTTGAAGCGTTAGCGCTTGTCACATGAGTGTTCTGACATCCTTTTGGCCACCGCTGCCGTTTGCTTGCTTGCCAGTTTGCAACACAATTCGATCACAGCGGAAGGCGGCAAGGCTTTGGGTCGAGTATTGGATTCAAATCGAGCCCTCAAACGTCTTGAGTGAGTGTAGCGCCATTTTGTGGGGTGTGGGCCAATGCAACATGTTTCCTGTCGATTCGGCCCGCAACCTTTGCTGCTTGTGTCCTTGCTCATGACGTGACACGAATTCTCCTGTACCTTGCAGTTTGAAGAACAATTCTCTCGCCTGTGCCCGTGGCTTCGGTGATACCTTGCCTCTGGATCGCGAACTCGAAACAGATTGGTTAGAAACCTATGCACTGTTGGAAACATATGGCGAAGTGGGACACTCTGCTTCCATTGTCTTTTCGAGGTTGTCACCTTCGAGCATGCGCTACTTTTTGGCAGGTCTACCGATGATGAAGGCATGTCTGCATTTAATGCAGCCCAGAGGAAGAAGCGCGAACACCAATTGCTGGCAGATAACAAGCAAGTTGCCGTGGAGCACACCACTTCCGATGCTGTCATGATCGTTCCTCACCAAGAAACCAGCCGTTGCGATCCTTTGAATAGCATGCCACTATGGAATGCGCATGTCAATGGCAAGCAAGGCATCGACGAGCTCAAGAGGATAATGAATCGGCTTGCAGCTCACTCAGACACGCAAATGGCGGGGCGCGCAAAGCTGATGCTGGTTGGCGAGGGGCGTGCTGGCAAGACCACCACCCTTCGCTCACTCATGGGCAAGGAGTTCAACATGCAAGAGCACTCCACGCTGGGCGCCGACAGCATGGACCTGTCTGTCATTGTCGAGTCCATGGACGTCTGCAACTGGCAGGTGAGAAGTGTGAGTGTGTGTGTGTGTGAAATGATGGTGACTGCGCGCTTGCCTGCAGGCACACCCTCTTACATGTCACCTCACATCATCTCCTTGCATGCCGTCGCATCACAAAGCACCTTACGAGCGGCCTGAGCGAGTACATGCGCACGCTATTGGGCACGGCGCTGGCAAGGGCAACTAAGATGGACGCAGCGATGAAGGAGGCAGTGACAGCGGCGATGAAGGAGCATCAACGACGAATTGAGGAGCAACATCAGCTGGTGGAGGATGGCGATGATGATGATGATGACAGACAAGCATCCATGTCAACGGAGACACAGCCAACATCAGTCTCCACGCAATATGATGCGTACAACTCCTCCTCATCGTCATCACCCAAACTGCCCAAGCAGTCTCAGCAACACCAGCAGAGCGCATCAGCTGCAATTTCAGCCAGCATGTCTCGCCCCAGTGTCTCAACTGAGGATATCGAGAAGGCGATCAAGGAGTTCAACGTGGACGCCGTCATGGGCGAGGGTAAAGCCAGGGTGACATTCAAGGTGTTTGACCTTGGCGGGCAGTCCACCTTCTACATCTTCCACCCTTTCTTCCTCACAGAGTGAGTGATTCGTTTGTGTGTGTGTGTGTGTGCGTGTGTGTCTGTGTGTTTGAGTGTGTGTGCGTGTGTGTGTGTGTGTGTGTGTGTGTGTGTGTGTGTGTGTGTGTGTGTGTGTGTGTGTGTGTGTGTGTGTGTGTGTGTGTGCGTGCTTGCAGTCCCTCCACCACCTCTCCTCCATTCACCTCTCCCTTCATCACCCCACCCACCCAACAGGTACGCGGTGTACCTGCTGGTCTTCTCGATGGAGGACCTGCTGTACCAAGACGAGAGCAAGCGGGCTGAGACGTGGGAGTTTATGGAGCACTGGCTGTCCTCCCTCCACCTCCACGCCAAGGGCGCACCCGTCCTCATCGTCGGCACCTTCGCTGACAAGATCAGCGAGCGGAAGCAGCACGAAGTCATTTCATGCGGCATATACAGCCGCCTGCGCCACAACCCCGCTTTCCCTGGCGTCGTCCACAACGACAAGCATGGTCTGTGGTTCTGGCCCGTTGACAACACCAAGTCCATCAATGACCCCATGATCCAGGACCTGCGCCAGACCATCTCCTCCACAGCACTGGCGCAGGAGTACGTGAGCCAGGAGGTGGCTGTGCCCTACCTCCACCTCTACGACAAGCTCAACGCCATTGCCCGCGACGAGAAGCGGCCGCTGCTCACGTTTGGCGAAGTGGCAGAGCTTGCCCGCACATGTGGGCTGCGCACGCGTGACGAAACGAGGGCCTGCCTCCAGTTCCTGCACCTGTATTCCATGGTGCTGTACTATGACAGCGTGCCTGGCATGGAAGATTATGTGATTCTGAGCCCACAGTGGGCTGTGGACATGATGACGCGCGTCATCCGCAACTTTGACCTGCACCACGATGTGCGTGACGGCGAGGCGAGGGCCGTTGGCGCACACCTGTGGGACGACCTGGTTGACCGCGGTATCCTGCACCGCCGCCTGCTGGATGTGCTGTGGAACGACGTGCACAGCAACTTGGTGGTGCCGTTCCTGCGCCTCATGATGCAGTACGGACTATGTGTTGAGTACTCTCCACCCAAGCTGGTGGACAGCCGCAGAGCACTCACCCGCCCCAACTCTGGCCACCGTGACGGTGATGATGGCAGCGAGGGTGTTGACACGCGCGCGCGAGAGCAGCAGTACCTGGTCCCAGCCATCCTGCCGATGACCATTCGCCACAGCAGCACGATGGAATCTGTCACTCTGAGCACGACAGCAGCACAACAGGCCAACCCGTATTTTGGATACGAGGTTAAGACAGCCTACGTCGCCTTCAGTTTGAAGCAGTTCAAGCGAAGTGCGAGTGTGTGTGTTGATGATGCACAGCACGCATCGTTCCTGCCAGAGGGACTGTTTACCGTGGTGCTGGCGCATGTGATGGCGCACGCGCAGCATGGAGCATCGCAGGAGCCCAAGCTGAGCCGCACCCATGCCATCTGCTTCATGGAATCCACCAAGCTTGAACTGCAGCTTGTGCCGGCTGTTGGCGGCATCAAGATGAAGATCACGAGTGCGCAGCCACGCGCTATGTTGCAGACGGTGCACATGCTGCACAAGGTGATCAGCGAGGCTGCCAGAGAGCGCTATCCTGAGCTGAAGAGCAGCCTGCTGCTGCCGTACGACGACAAGACGCTGCTGTTCTTTGAGGACGTGCTGCACCATCACAAGAGCAAGCAGGGCATGTGGGTGGACGAACAGCTCCTGTCACCTGATGACCTGGTCAAAAAATACGGCCCTCTCATACCCGTTCTCGGTCTGCAGGACAAGTACGACGTCTTCATCAGCTACCGGTGAGACTTGTATGCGTGTGTGTGTGTCTGTGTGTGCGTGTGTGCGTGTGCGTGTGTGTATGTGTGCGTGTATGAGTGTGTGCGTGTATGAGTGTGCGTGTGTGTGTGCGTGTGTGTGTGTGTGTGTGCGTGTGTAACTGCGTGGGTCTGTCTGTCTATCTGTCTGTCTGTCTGTGTGCGTGTGTGTGTGTCTGTGTGCGTGTGTGTGTGTGTGTGCAAGTATGTGCATGTCACTTCCACCCACTAGCCACGACAACTGCATGCAGCTTCCTCCCTCATCTCACCCATTCCCCCCCCCCAACAACCCACCAACATCCCCTCCCGCTCCCCCCCCCAGGCAACGCGCCAGCAGTGGGCTGGTGATGGCACTGCACCCGCGCTTGGAGCAGCGCAACCTGGTTGCATTTCTGGACGCCAACAACCTGGAGACGGGCGTCAACTTCAAGCACGCGTTCATGACGGCGATTGGGCTGAGCCTGGTGGCCTGCCCAATCGTCTCTGCTGCCACCATCGCGCAGATGAGGCAGCTGCAGCACAGCGACTACTGCGACAACGTGCTGCTGGAGTGGATGGCGATGCTGGCCATGCGCGAGTTCAAGTTTGCCAACCACCACCTCATTCGTCTCCAGCGCGTTGCTCCTGTGATTGTGGACAGCGCGTGGCACGATGTGGAAGTCAGCAGCAGCACGAGCAGGGCTGAGGCAAACGAGTATGATTCGTTTGACAGCATGAAGCGGCTGGCGACGACGCTGCCGGATGTCGTGAGCAAGAAGACGGCAGCAGCCCTGGACCAGTATTTCACGCAGGTGCTGCGCCTGCCACGACCACAGCGGCACAAGACCGTGCGGGAAGTGGTGCTGTCGCTGTTTGACATTGAGGGCGCTTGGCGATGTTCGGCGCAGGCCAGCGGGCAGGGCACAACGGCGGTGACGTCAATGGCACAGCACATTCGTGATGTCGTAGATTCGCTCAAGGACAACGAGGAATCGCTTGACCATGGCCGATGGAACTTCTCGCCGCATCTGCTCGCCGAACTGGCGCCCAACACGCACCAACTCTCAAAACGTCGGTGGACCCACATTGCTCCTCTCAACATTCATAGGCATGCGAGCATCATCAACGACGTAAGCCCCTTGTCACGCACGTGTGTGTCCCGTGCAGCTGCTGACCGTGCAGCTGACCGGGTGTATTGTCTTGCCATCTTGTTCCCAACTGCCTTTTCGCGAGGGACGCTCACATGTACACTTGTAGACCCATCGTGCCGCCCCTGTACTCATTGTGCTCGCAATTATCGCATGCAACTCATACACACACAACACACATACGTACATGCACACACAACACAACACACACCACATAACACACATACGTACATGCACACACACATATATATATATATATATACACACACAACATACATACATACACACACACACACACACACACACACACACACACACACACACACACACACACACACACACACACACAGCTGGTTGCTGAGGCTGGCGGGCACGTTGCAGCGGCTAGTGATGTGCTCAAGCAACTGGCGGCAGTCGCAATTACGTGGAACCCGCAATCTCTCAGCGCATTCATGAACACAATTGAGGCAACGAGGGGCCGGTATCGTGGAAACCTCACGGACCCACGGCACAAGTTTGCGCCGCGATATCTACATGATGTGCACCAAAATGGCCGGGCCATCGACGAAGAGGAGCGGGCAGTGCTTGCACGCGTGACAGCCAACACCTACTACAACGTACTGGATCCAGGCTTGCTCGACCAGGATCCACCCGTGCGGTTGCAGCGCGTGTTTCACGGCGTCATGTCATTCGAGGCCGTTGTCGGCATTTTGGCTGGTGATTTTGTCCAGCTCAAGAGCACAGATGATGGGTGGTACGGTGCAGGCATCTACTTCACGCCGGACATTGAATACGCCTTGGCGTTCACCGAGGTATGCCGCGGTCACAATGTGCCCAATGATCTCAGTGTGTTGAACCTGAACCCAAACGCATCGTATCGCGTGGTCCTGGCATGCGACGTTGTGTACGGGAACCCGTACCCTGTGCTGAATGGCAAATGCAAAGGACAACCGCTGAAGATTGGCCACGACGCCCACGTGGCCGTGGTGGACTTCAGCTCCGGTGACTTTCGGAAAGCCGGGCCGTTTGCCTCGCACCGGCTGTGGCGCATTGCGTCGAAACCGCCCGTCGCGGAGATTGTCGTCGCCAACGGGGTCTCCTCCCGGGTGAGGGCCGTGCTCGTGTTTGAGGCCAGCGCGTCCGGAAGCGCAACCCAAGACAGAGGAGCCCCTGCATCTTCTTCGTCTTCGTCTTCTTCAGCAGCATCACCGCCATCAACACGAGCTGCGGAAGTAGAGGTGTTGTATGTTCGAAGGTACGGTTCAAGCGTCGTGCAGCCGTGCTCAATTCACCACTTTCTTTTTTTTTTTTTTTTTTTGGTTCCGTTCCTCCTCGTTTCTCGTCGCCAATGCTTCACTGACTGCTTCGTCTCCTCACTGCGTGTCGTGATTATTGCGATGCAGGGCTGAAGCACAAGCTTTGAACATCAACACAGATGATGATGACGCGGATGATGACGATGACGACGACGACAGTGGCCAATCCTCGGCTCGATCGGTGCGTGTGTGTGTGTGTGTGTGGTGTGAGGTGTGAATGGGAGATTTGCATGGTCATGTGCATGGCGTGCGTGGTGTGAATGGGCAATTTGCGTGGTGTGAATGGGCGATTTGCGTGGTGTGTGCGTATGCTGAGCTTGTGTGAGGTCTGGTGCGTGAGGTGTTTGTATTGTGCATGAGGTGTGAATGGGCGATGTGCACGGTGTGTGCGTATGCTGTGCATGTGTGGTGTGGGCTGTTCTCTGCAACAAAGAACGCCACCGCTTGCACACCATGGCCGCAATCTCACGGGTGGCAACATCTTGCCATGTGAACGTGGCACTGTGCTGTGGCTCTCGCAGTCGCCTCATCCAGAGCCACAACAATCAGGGACACAGGGAAACTCCAACGAGGCACGGCCGCCCTCCGGCGAGACTACCATGTCCTCCTCTTCAACAGCGAGCGTAAGCATCCGCAGTGCAGTGGTTGTGTTGGGGCTATGGACGTCCTGTCGGCTGTCGTAGTTGGTATTGCATGAGGTTGTTTCCGGTTTGTGCACTGCTTGATGCGCTTGTGTTGGTCTTGCAAAGCCTCCCCCTTCCCCCTCCCCTCCGTCACGATTAGACCATTGCATTGACCTGCACGCAGCAGGAGTTGCCAGCGTTGCCCGCGGCATCATCTTCTTCATCTTCTTCGCATGTGTCAGCGCAGCCCTCATCTTCGACGGCAGCCATGACAGGAGAGATGCTGCACTGTGACCTGGGCCCAGGCTCTGTGCACTTTGTGTCATCAGTCGTTCAGGCAGTCGAGGTAGGATGTATCGTCTGGCGCGTGCTCTGCTGCAACGTTGACAGCTGCTCATAGATCTGATGGGCTTCTGTGTCCTTTGTTGTATTTGATACGCGTGCAGTCTTCCGCTTGTGCCCTCACGTCTTCCCTTGCTTTGATGCTGCTGTCACAACACGCCGCTCACCATGACAGACTGATGACGACGATGACGACGATGCTGACGGGTGTTGACGACGTAGTTGCCTCTGAGGAGCATCGTCTCACTCGCACGCGCAGCCCTTTCTAATGCTGTCGTGTGGGAGCTCAGTGTTTCTCTGTTTCTGCTTCATAGCAGCGTAGGAGTGTTCATTCCCACATTGCCAACTAGGTTTCCACAGGTTTCAGCACTGAGAGTGCGCCGCGCTCACTTTCGATAAACGACACCATAAATCGCATTTTCATCATCCCACACAAACAACAAGCAAGCAAGAAACGCAATGTCCTCGTCTTTGTGTGATGGTGCGAGATGACAGCACGATGCATGCTGCGCTGCGCGGATGCGTGATGCTGGCCACCACCATCCAACCATCCTACCGTCCATCTATCCAGCCACCATCCAACCATCCCACCACCCATCCAGCCCACCTGTGCGACACCATCGTCTACCACCGCTTCATACAGCTCACATATGGGTCGGCTTTTGTCTTGTGTTCAGACGCGCTTCGCAAGCGCATGGCTTCTGTGAAGCACATCATCCTCGTGCTCTCCGGCAAAGGTGCACACGTGCGTGTGTGTATGTGCATGCGTGAATGTGCAAAGAAGCTGTACCCTGCAAGGAAGGTGTGCCCGTCTCCCGTGTCTTGCGTCGTTGGCGTTCTACAGCAGCCCCTGTTTTGTTTTGCCTCACTCCCTTTTCCTGTCCTCCCTCCCTGCCCTCGTGCACAGGTGGGGTTGGCAAGAGCACAGTGGCCACCCAGCTTGCGCTGGGCCTCATGCACGCCGGCAACAAGGTGTGTGTGTGTGTGTGTGTGTGTGTGTGTGTGTGTGTGTGTGTTGTGCGTGCGTGAGCGCGTGTGTGTGTGTTGTGTGTGTGTGCGTATATATATGTACATATATGTGTGTGTATGTACATATGTGTGTGCGTGTGTGCTGTACTCAATGTCATGCTTGCCACTCGTCGTTGCAGCTGAACACATGCATACATCACCCTTCTCAGGTTGGCATCCTGGACATTGACCTCTGTGGGCCCAGTGTCCCTCGAATGCTTGGCGTCCAGGACTCGGAGATCTTCTCCTGTCCCGACGGGTGCGTTTAACGTGCGCTTTTTGCCCTTTGTTCGGCGCTTGCCTTGCTGTTGTCCTCCAACACTTCGCCCTCACCTGCCCTCCTTCCTTTGCTCCTGTAGCTGGGTCCCTGTGTACAAGTATAATCAGCGGCTGGCCATCATGTCCATCGGCTTCTTGCTTGGCAATACATCCGAGGCAGTCGTGTGGCGCGGCCCAAAGAAGACAGGTGCGGGTTCATGCTGACGCGTGTTTGAATGTACATGAGTGCGTGCGTGTGTGTGTGTGTGTGTGTGTGTGTGCGTGCGTGTGCGGGCGTGTGTGCGTGTATGATTGAATGTGCATGGTGCATGCGCTGGACGCGTCTCTGTTCTGCTTCATCGAAGCGCACCTCTCCCTCCACCTTCCTCACCTCCTTCACACACACACACACACACACACACACCCACACTTTTTTTCTTTTTGTGTTTGTGTGGGGGTGTGTGCCTGTTTGTTGTTTTTTTTTTGGTTCACACACGCGTCCCCCCCCCTTTCTCTCTCCCTGACTCACCCGATCCCCCCCCCCCCTACACGCCCCCCCCCTCTCAACACGAACCAGGCCGCCTGCCGATTGACCCTGAGTTTGGGCGCGCGGTGGGAGACGGCGGCGACTATATGGGCGAGCACGTGGGCTCCCAGACACACACGGCCATCATGGCCATCGTCAACAAGCTACCCGGGGTCGCCGACGCCGCGGAAGCGCAAGCACAAGCGCAAGCACAAGCACAGGTCGAGCATGAGCAGCAACAGGAGCAGCAACAGCAACAGGAGCAGCAACAGGAACAGGCGAAGGCGATGGAGGTGGCGCAGGACGAGGAGGAG